CCACACACACACACACACACACACACACACACACACACACACACACACACACACAGTACACTAGGTACCTGACTGTACCATGCCAATGATCATAGTTGTCGAAACAATAACTCAATAAAAAAAAAAAAAAATTTTTCAATTTTCCTTTTTGTGCCGATTTCAAAAATGTATAACACATGAGGCTTAAAAAGATTAATTTATGAGAAAAATAAACACAAAAGAAAGAACACTTAATTCAAAAAATATTTTTTTAACAATTTTATTACAAACATTTAGAATAAACATTTCTCTACCAAAAATGTTTGCATTAATTGTTCAAAATGACTGAAAATCACTTCCATACAATAGTACAATTTCTGAGAGATGCTGGTTGAGTAGCATAAATTTTTGTTTTTAAATACCCCCATACTAAGAAGTCTAGGGGTATTAAATCCGGTGGCCTAGGTGTCCAATCCATACTCTGTTCTGTTCTACCTATCCAACGAGCGGGAAAAGTTTCGTTTAAAAATTGTCGCAAAGGTAGAGCAAAGTGTGGAAGAGCTCCATCATGTAGAAATGCAACCAAATCTTTGGAAAGGTTATCATCATTATCTACTATCGTTCTAGTATGATCCACGACTTGCCTAAGTAACTCAAGATACGATGCACCATTTAAGTTTCCAGTGATAAAGAAGGGTCCGATAATGTGATCACCTAGGATACCACACCATACATTTAACTTTGTGCTGGGGATGCTGTGTGTGAAATTCACGCACAATATGTGGATCACTCTCGGTCCAGTATCGCCAATTATGTCTGTTCACCAAGTCATTTATTGAAAATCAGTATTTATCCGAAAAGCAAATATTGTTTAACCATTTGTAAATTCTAGCAGCAGCTCTTGCACAATTATTATTTTTGTACTATAAACCTACAATTTTGATTCTTTCTCGCAAAGTGTAAACCATTTCAACGATCAAACTGCACACGTATTAAAATACTCTGTTACAAGTTATAACACATTGTCATTGATTATTAAAAGATTAAAATTAATGTCCAAATATCGAAAAAATTTGATAAACCTTCAATAAAAAGTGAAGTTTTTTGTTTCTTGGTTTTTGAAAGTACCACAAATAGTATGGTTTAATATTTAAAAGTTTAAATTATGCTACAACCCATTTTCTTAAAGTCAATTGAGGTAAGAGAGATAATATCTTGTTAAAAGAAAAATTGTCAAACTAATCACTTAAAGCCGAATATATTATACATTTTTGAAATCAGCACAAAAAGGAGAATCCAAATATAAAATAAAAAAGGGGGAAGTAATTAAAAAAAAATAAAGGGATGATACGGGGATGAGAAGGTGCTTTCCCAGCAAGCTTAAATATGACATAATGTCTCCCCCTTCAAATATTACACTTTTCCAAAAAAATTATAAGTTGTGCTAAGATAGTGCTAAGATTAATACAAGAATTAATATCAACAATCTTCCGAGGTCTCAGTCCCCCGAGCCCCCCAGATACTACGCTGCTTACTAACCAATGCGTTACTGACATTACAGTAATTGCAAGGTTATCATTCCACCAGGGTACTATTGGAATTCCTTAGTATTTTCAGGCAGTTCTCTTCGAACGCTGATATGAGAACATCTTACATTTTTCGGCAGCCATGTCTAGCTCCAATGTATGCCTTATCGTCCCTTTAACCCCGCCTAAACAATATTCCAGGTCTGCTATGCTTCCTAGTTGAGAGGCTCATTGCCTGTACTTTCAAAACAAATGTGTCGATGGTTTAACAGTTCTAGCTGAGTCATGGTTACTGTTATACCAATTAACTCCTTCCGTTGTGAAGTTACGAAAGTTAGTTTGTTTCTACGTCTAAATGATTGTTCCATAATAAACTATAGTAATGACTCACCTCTTGCATTGGTGCTTGTACTGTAATAAGTCAGATGGTGCGCATTCGCACCACAGCCAATAATTCATTGTAGTCCAGTTTTTCTGCAATCTCTCACTAGCTATTCAAACTCCCTTGATGGTGGTTGTTTGGGATCATTATATAGAAGATATGCTGATCCGACCATCTTCCTCATACCTCCTCCCTCTGTAACTTTCATTTTTACTGTCGTTAAGTACTGGAATAGAGATTCATCAACTGCAGTGTTTTGATATTTCGTTTTTACTATTATGTAGATCCTCCGGAATTCGACAGATCGGCTATATATAGGCTCTCCCCAATACCCCATAAACCTCTCATTTTGCCATTTTAAACTCATGACTCTTGTATCAAAGCTACATCGAATCTTCTCATAGCAACAGTAAGTTCTGTCGAATATGCATTGCTATGCTGGAGATTCGCTTGCAGGACTCTAATTGGAGCCATCGAGGTCTCTAATGTTTTGAAGAACACCTTTCAGGTCTGTAATACGCCTTGCAATTAGTAGCCTTCAATGATTTATAGGAGACCCCATCAATCATGTATACGAAGATTTGCACGTTCTCTCCGATTCTTTAACAACCAGTCTTCGGTCTTAAAGTATTTATTTTGCCTCTTAAAAGGGGTCCTCATTGTTGCTTTTGAGGACCATGGGACGTTTGTGCATGTTGTTGGAATCGACTACATTCAAGTCTACTTCCTCCTACAGCCCTTCATAATGCTCACAACCCATTTTTTAGTCCATAGTCATAGTCCATTTTTTCATATATTCGTTAGAATAGTTTACCTACAGGGTCACTACGCTAAAGGATGTTTTGTGGAACTGCGACAGTAGATTTTTACTACCAATAGGAGTCTCACCCACTGCTCGCTCTAGTTTGTTGATTATTAGGTCTGCTTGAGCCTGATCTAGTTGAGTAACAGGATGTTGTCAGGATTGGTAGAAAATTAGAAGAAATACTGATTGGCTTACTTCACAGATAGGGTGAAACGTAACAACTGGTATGAACAAATGCAGACCACACGAAAATAACTTAATAAGTCATGTTTTTGGTTTTGTTCAGGAGAACATTTTTAAAGTTTAAAACTCTGTGACTATGAATTAATCCGGAATAAAAAGATAAAAATTTGCTATAATATTTGTTGGTTTACGTTTTAGTTTTTTTTTTTTTAATTTATATCGCATATTATTGCTATGAATTTTTTTTTATTTATCTAGTTTTTCTCGTGCAAAGAAGGAATTATCACGTTATTTCTCTATACAATCCTTGTCTAGTTTTTGTAAAAAATAAATCAGAAATAGAGCAAATACATTTTTAAAAAAATGTAAAAAGTATAAAATAAAACACTGTCATAAAACAAATTACAATATAGTTCCAGTTTTCCATGTCGCATGCCATTGTTACCAACTATTAGGATTACCTGGACTTATCAAAGTTTTCCCCTGTTTGCAATGGACATGTCAAGTTCTTTCCTCGTACAGGGTTTTTTCCAACACTTATATCTTTTGACATCAATTTATTATTGTGACTAGTGTTACTCTTAGAAACTATGTAATTAAAGCTACAAAGTGGTATTAAAAACGAGAAATGTCAAAAATTGGACTTACCAAGTTATTTCTTTGTAGTCTTCAAATGGGTTTTAAACATTCGAAGGCTTTTATGCATTAACCTTTCAAAAAAAGATCCAAAGATCTACTAGATATAAAAAGGAATGATCTGAGAATTATCGACACTGTCGTCTCAAGGGGCATATGAATAATATCGGACTGATAAAGTGCGGAATTGCAGATTTTTTCAGGTTGAAGATGAGATGACGGAACACTTTCTATACAACTGCAGATTTAAATAGGATATGGCTCAATACATTTGAGCATTATCATCTTGAGCCCTATGAATTCGTAGAAGTGTCACCAAAGCTCATAATACACTTTGTCAAAAGGACTGGGCTGAAAGGACAACTTGAACATAGGAATGAGACACATCTTAGGTCGAGTGGAAGGCTGGTTAAGCGCCCACTCATATTGAACCTAACCTAACTTAACCTAGATCTGTCAACTCAGTTTCATTTATTTGACATTTTTCTAACAACAGTTTCTATCTAAAGTTTTATATTTATACAATAAATACGTAATCTCTATTTATATGATCAATATCTAGTCTATATTTATACAATCTATATCTGATTGATCAGCATTTAAAACAATGCCTTCACCATCCTCTCCAGCACTATTATTTTCATTATTTTCTTGACTAACTTTTTGTCTATTAACGTGTGCACTTAATTTTGAATTATCCTCCGATAAGATACTTTCTTGTTGTTGAGTGTGGTTGTCTAATTTGTCTACGGATGCCTCTGACTTTTCTTCAACTTCTTTACTAGTTTTGCTAGAACGAGAACTCTTAGTTTGACACGAATTATCTTTATCTTCTGTCTTATCAAAAGTTGGCTTGTCAGTGGTTTCTTTTCCATGGCCCGAATTTTTACATTTTTGTCGGTGTTTTATCTCAGTAGAGACATCACTCATTGCCTTTTTGGATTTACTTTTTGGGAGAGGTATTTCCGGTATAGAGTTCGCACTGCTATCAGTGACGGAATCGTGACTTTTCTTGTTCATGCCATTTTGTCCAGATTCTTTGATTGTTGTATTTTTAATGATTCTAACAGTTCTTGTGAAATTAGTCGTCGCTGTATCTATCATAACATTTTTCCAATTTGAACTACTACTCTGATCTCCTTCTTTGTGAGTCGATTTCTGGATTAATTTGGTTTTATTTTTAGCTACTGCATTCTTTTCCCTTTCAGAGTCACTTTCTAATTGGTTGTCTTCCACTGTTTCGTCACCTTCTGTATCACTAGATGATATTACTATTTCTTCATTCTGTGGACTCTCTACTATCACTGCATCTTCTTCATTACTATCCTCTTTATCCACGATTTCATTACTAGGTGGTGCTGGTTCAGCAGGTTTAGTGGATTCCAAAACCAGTTGAGATCTTATAGCTCTAGCTCTGGCTTGAAGTTCCAGCAGTTCTAGTACACTCATCAAATTCTTTTCACTCATGGGATTTGGTTCTGTCTCTTCATTTTTGCTTTTTTCTCTTTTGTACTTTTCTAAACCATGATCCTTGTCTTGTTTTTCCTTTTTTATCTTTTTGTGTTTATGTTCTTCTTTTATTCTGGTCCTATGTTTTTTACCCTTTTTTACTTCAGAATCTAAAAATAAAAATTGAATTATTGGAAAAATAAAACACATCATACACATAATATAATTATTTAAATGACGATTCGCTGTGAAATCTTACAAATCTATGAAATTTAAATTTGAATAAAATTTAATTATAAAATAAATGTTCATTAAAAATATTCTTCATTTATTTAAAAGCTATCTTCGACGGAATGAATCGAGTATTTGCAAACTTTTTATATTAAAAAATTCGAACAAAGAACTACAATTAGCATATAAAATCCAGCAGGCATGTTGATCGCCTTAGTAACCGAAATCTGGCAACAGAAGGGAACGCCTGCAGACTGGAAATTAGGTGTAATGCACCCTCTTCAAAAAAATGGAGATATGATGGTGTGTGATAATTATAGACATCACCCTACTTAACGTGGCATATAAAGTATTGCCCAACGTATTGTACAGAAGATTGATCCCCTATGTTGAACATATAGTTGGGAACTACCAGTGCGGTTTCCGACCCAATAAATCAACAACGGATCAAATCTTCACAGTCAGACAGATTCTTGAGAAAACGCTCACGAGTTCGTAGTCGACACCCACCACATATTCGTGGATTTCAAAGCCGCATACGACTCAGTCAACAGACAACTATAGGCTATGGTGGAATTTCAAATACCGCTTCATCTTGTTCAACTAAAGCTGGATTTATAGTTTGACGGACTATAGACGTAGACCCACTGGAGACGTAACAAACGGACTGTAAGTATTATTTCAATTTATAAATCGATGGAGTGGAATTTTTGCGCATGGGTAGAAACATTGTTAGATTGATGACCATGATACTATAATATCCTTTTATTATTTATTATTATTATTTTATAAATTCTTAACGTCCATGGTACCAAATAATCAACAAAATCAAAATTCGAATATGTTAATAAGCAACTTTACAAAATGATGGGCGGGCCAGACAGTTCACTTTGGTTGACAGCACAAAATTCCTTCCTTTTGATTGGCCAGACGCAAGTAACGCACTGTAAAAGATGAAAGTTGACCAACTCTTCCGTTACAGTGCGTTTCGCTTACGTCCCGTCATGCGTTTACGTTCATTTATAAATAAGAGTACACAAAAGTCTATGTTGATCTTTTTCCAGTGCGTCTGCGTCTACAGTCCGTCAAACTATAAATCCAGCTTAACGGAACTCACACTCACAGGCGTAGAGAGTGTAGTCAGAATCCTAAATGGGATTAAAAATGAACGCACAGAAAACCAAGTATATGTATTGTACTAGATCAGGCAACCAGATACCTAGACTATTAATTGATGATCTGGAACTGGAAGGTGTGGACACCTTCGTCTACCTGGGCTCGCTGTTGACCAAAGACAACAATGTCAGCGAATAAATTAAAAGAAGAATAGTGCTTGCCAATAAGTGCTATTATGGATTGAGGAAAGAGATGGCCCCAAAACTACCCAAAAAAATTAAAGTTACCATATATAAAACACTAATAAGGCCAGTGTTAACATACGGGTCAGAAACGTGGTCACTTACACAGAACGACCAAGAATTTCTTAAACGTTTCGAGAGAAAAATTCTAAGGAAAATATATGGAGGAGTCCAAGAACAGGGTTTGTGGCGTGGAATGCTAATTATGGATGAGGAAACAGATGGCCCCAAAACTACCCAAAACAATTAAAGTTACCATATATAAAACACTAATAAGGCTAGTGTTAACATACGGGTGAGAAACGTGGTTACTTATACAGAACGACCAAGAATTGCTTAAACGTTTCGAGAGAAAAATTCTAAGGAAAATATATGGAGGAGTCCAAGAACAGGGTTTGTGGCGTGGGCGCTACAACTTTGAGTTATACAGAAGTTTTGAGGAACCTGACGTTGTAAAATATATTAAATTAGCACGCCTTCGATGGATAGGACATGTAACTAGGCGAGATGAAGATGCAACGATCGGAAAAATTTTCGACCAAAGAGGACCAGTGCGAAGACGAGCCAGAGGAAGACCAAAACTTACGTATCAAGATACCATAGAGGATGATCTAAAATCCATCGGAGTTAAATCATAAAGAAGAGTTGCCAGAGACAGGGGCGAATGGAAGAGTGTTCTGAATAAGGCTCTGGCTCATAACGAGCTGTAATGTCACTGATGATGATGATGTTGATCGCCTAATCTAAACACGCAATTTTAGATCACCTCAAAGAAAAAAATCTAATGAGTTAAGGTCCGGGGAACGAGTAGGCCACTCGATGAATCCTCTATTTTCAATCCATCGATTTGGGAAGTTCGCATTCAAAAAATCTCTAACCCGTCGATAATAGTGGAGAGGCGCTCCATCTTGTTTAAATAAACAATTTTGTGGTAATTAGCCTTTATGTTAAAGTGCAAGAAAAATTCGGTTATTTAGTAAATCTAAATACTTGCTACTCGTCAAGTTTCCGTCTATAAAAAATGGGACCTAAAGCCTATTTTGGACAATTCCGATATAAACATTCAACTTTTTTTTAAAGCTGTTCGATTCGGGTTGCTGTTAAGTGTTCCAATTAGACATTGTAAAAGTACATTATTCATAAAGCAACCATTTATTAAAAACCGGATTTAAGTAAGAAAACGGATCAAGTAATTAAGGAATAGAAATAATTATCTATACAACTATAACGAAAAAACGCTACTCATAATCAAGGAAATTGTATATTTAGAGATACTGTATATTTAGAGATTGAAATATTTAAATACTTTACACCATACACAAAAAGGAGATATCTGTGAATGCTCTAACCACAACAGATGAATTACGCTTCTAAATGCAGCGTATAATATATTTCCCACAGTAGTATATCACCGTATGGCACCATATGCAGAACGAATAGTAGGAAAATACCAAGCTGGTTTCAGAGGAGGTGATAAATTAAAAATTTATCAGATTGCAGCCCTGATACAAATTTTAGAATAGGAATAAGCATATATACTCATCACATATTTATAGACTACAAAGCAGCCTATGATTCTGTAAATAGAAGAGAAATGAAAAAAGAGCTAGGAATACTAAATTAGTTCAGTAAATTTAACAAAACTAACTATTGAAAAAATAGAGAGTACGAATCCAGGGGAACTAGCTGAACTTTTTAAAACAAATAACAACTACCGGTTGAATAAATAATATATCAGTGCAATTACTTGCCTATGCTGATGATATCAATATTGTTGGGAAAACGGGAAACGCTGTACAGCATACTGGCGTATATAGCACTAAAAGAATCAGCTACAAAAATAGGTTTAACAATAAACACCAAAAAAACGAAGTTTATGAAAATAAGCACGCAACCACAAATCCTAGAACCACTTGTTATAATAGAAAACGACGTCATCGAAGCAGTGAACGAACTTATATACATGGAAACGCTCCTCAACACTGACAATAATACTACCGCAGAGACAAACCGCAGAATTTGCAGGGCCAACAGATGCTATTTTGGGCTCAATCTCCTTCTTAAATTCTCAATTACATGGAGAAATACAAAAGTAAAACTCTACAAAACATTAATACGCTCAGTCCTAAAATATGGTTCAGAGACCTGTACTCTAACAACAAGTAATACAATCATGTTAGGATGTTTCGAAAGAAAATTACTAATTACTATGGAGCGAAGAAAGACAATGAAGTGTGGAGAAGACGAAACAACTTAGAACTTTATAGAATATACCAAGATCCATATATCGTAAAACATATTACGATACAACGTCTGAGGTGGATAGTACATATAATGCGTATGAAACAAAATGACCCAGCTAAAAAACGCTCCCTCATTGGTCAGAGAAAAAGAGGAAGATCCAGAACAAGGTTCCTTGATAACATCCATATAGACATGAGAAATATGGGAATACGTGCTTGGCTGAGAAAGGCGATGGATAGGGACGACTGTAGAGACATTCTTGAGGAGGCTAGGACACACGCAAGGAATACAATAATATATATTCACCAAGTATAATTAAGAAAAAAACTTCTTACACTTTGAAGAGAGAAGAAATGAGGAAAAAAGCAAGAATAGAAAAGCAATGAGAATGTAACCTGAAATATTTTTTATAGTACTAATGGCATCCACAAGAGGTGCTTGAAAAATATTTTAAATATTTATATGTTAAAGATAAAATAAAAATGCTAACAAAACAAAAAAGAAGGCTGTTTAAAGTAATAAGATTATCGTTATTAGTTTAAATTACCCTTATCCAAAACGGGTACCGCAAAAATCATATTAAAAGAAGCATCCACAGGCATCAATCTCAACGCAAAATCGACAAAATTCGTAAATCAAGAGGAATAAAGACAATATTTACCCACCGTAAAAACTTTCATTTCTTGTCCGATCAATCAAAGACAACATTCCAAATGAACAACATGGGAGTTTATGAAATTCCCTGTGCAGACTGCCCCCGATCCCATATAGGCCAAACAAATCGTAGAATCCAGAATAGGATTTTTGAACATTGCATTTCTGTACGCAATTCCGATTCCACTTTCAGCTGTAGGTCAACACCATCTTCATACAGGTACCAAAATTGATTTTGAAAACCCAGAACCAGAGCCCTCATCCGCTTCTATAAACCAAGAATTATCCGAGAAGTCATAGAAATTAAAAAAAGGCCAAATTGTCTCAAAAATAACAATCAGAATGCCCACTCTCAGATGCCGCCTTTGAAGTGGGTCAGCACACGATCGCCATATTTTAAACGGTAACACAGGCTCGGATTGAGAAATTTATGACAAGCTACGACAGAAGCATAATTTAAATTTTTAGAGAGTAATAATTTAGTAAATTTGAAATAATTTAATCTATTCTTCAACCAAAAGTACGACATAAAATATTGATGCGCGTACTTATCTTGACAAGCAGAGTGGGCATTCGGATTGTTTTATTATTCTGTGCCTTCGACATAGACATGAGACCTCTCATAAAGAAAATATCGTCCGCTCCACCCGCTAATCACAATCCTACTATCAGAAATGTTCGCACTAACCATTTAATAGCAGGACTAAAATACAGTACATACGTACATTACATAGATAAGAAAGGTAAAATAAAAACCTTAACATTAGAGTTTTCAAGCAGTATTTCTCTTATAAATAAAAAATAAACGTTTATAAACTTAGAACATACAATATGCTGCATACTAAAAACAAGAGGTTACACAATTTATTTACAAAAATTACACATTACAGTTATAATATTCAAACAAAAAGAACATATGTATTTGAAACACAGTTCTTACTCACAAAATAACATTAGTTAAAAAAAAAAATTGGTTATTTTCTGCTGCCCTCCACAATGTACACGTTGCCCTCCATCACATCACTTGCACAAGTATCTTTTTGACCTTGAGCGTAACACAGCAGAGCCTCGAACGGCTTAAATGCTTCGGAGAGGTTCATTATCACCGGATTTTTGTCAGTGTTTTATCACTTGAGTTTTTATCATTATTCTTGCACACCATGTTTAATATATCGTCGTCTGTTCGTCTGCACTCAACTACTTCTTAACATCCCGACAAGGTTCTTTACCAGTTCCGCAATCTCTTCTTCGTTGGAAGTTTCATCGGTAACTTCCTCTGGTTTCTCTCCTGTCCATTCATCAGATGCTTTATGATCTAACAGCTTCCTCCATGATTTTATCATTATTATTGGTTTTATGTCATCTCATGCTTGGGCCACCCACATCACTATATCCAACATGTCCACTTTTTCAGAGTCTCTGTAACGTTTTCTCCTTCATCCATTCCAACAATCAATGCCGTCAGCATAACTTTCGTCGATAGACACGTTTTATAGATTCTATATCACCTTGGTCCATAGGCTGACAGAGGACTGTTTCTGGGTAGGGATGAGAGGGTGCGTTGTCCAATAGCAGGACTGCCTTTCTCGGTACATCATTTTTTGCCAAATGTTTTTCAACCTTTGGTACACATTGATTGTGAAACCACTCTTTGAATGGAAGACTGTTCATCCAAGCACTCTTTTGATGACGGCACCAAACTGACAGGGAAGAAGAGTATCTAAACTTTTTGAGAGCCCTAGTATTTGTTTGACTTTCCGATGGATCCTAGAGGGAGTTTGTGAGATCCCGTAGCGTTGCTGCAGACTAAAATTGTCACTCCTTTTTCTTCTTGAATCCTGGTGCACTGTCTTCTTGTTTTGATGCCAGAGTGTAGGTCGGCAACATTATATAATTCAGATATGTTTCATTACAATTGTAAAGCTGGTCTCCGGTAATTCTTTCTTCTTCTAGCTGTGTAAGGTCTTTTTGAAGACTTGGACAACTTCTGGTTCAGCAGACAGTTTCTGACCACATATCTATAGCTTCCGCACACCGTACCGATTTTTCCAACTCTCCAACCATCCTTCATTTACTTTAAAATCATTATCACCTTCAATTTCTTTGTTAAAGTGCGAGGCTTCTTCTTTTAACATAGGCCCTGATATTGTACATCTCTGCTCCCTCCTTTGGGTGAACCAAATATACAAACACTCATTGATATGGTTGTTAGGTTTTTTTTCACCATTTTCAGGATTTTTATTCCGTTGTTGAAGCCTGCGATGAGCACCATTTTTCAATTTTGTTTCTATATTTTTTTCAGTCATAAACAGTGCTAGTCTCTGCTCCCATGTCAACAGCAATATTCTTATCCGTTTCATTAGCATCTAGCCTCTTCAGCGCACGTAACTTTTTCTTCCATTGTTACATTTTTCTTTCTTTTTTCGGCCATATCACCACGAAAACGATGGACAAACAACGATCAAAATTTCAAACAGGTATGAATCTGAAAAAATGTACGCCAAACAACTGTCACTGCTCAAAAGCAACAAAGATTAAGAACAAACAGACCGACAGTCGGGATGTACAGAAAGAACGGGAGAAAGTCAAACCGGTCGAGAGAGTCAACTCAAGATCACATACCCCGCTAGAAATACATCATTAGACAAGGAGAGAGAGGGCACGCGTAATCGTATGGAATTGACTGAAGCCTAAACGGGACCAGAAAGGTTGCCAGGGCATATTTTATTTCTTCAGTAGATTGAGAATAATCGATACAATATACAAATAAATAGATTTTTTTCAAAATTTATAACAACACCGATATAATGATCACTTTTTGAACATGATTTTATGATTACATATTTTTTAGTAGATCGATATAGTATTTCAGTAAATCAGTAAATTGAAGTTGAAATCAGAAGATCTACTCAAAAATTAGTAGACCTGGTAACCCTGCGAGAGATAGTAATAAGCAACGTACAGGCACCAAAACATGGAGGTCACATCGAAACTGGCTTAACTTTGCGAAGGTTTATTAAACGAGCTTTACCTGTCCTCTCTCTTTCCTTGCCTAAGAATACACCCATGCGTAGAGAACTAGACGCGAAACTGTTCATATTTTCTTTCGCTTGTCGCACAGTTCGAAAAATTTGTTCCGCGAACCGCCCGGATATGGAGATGTCCGGATGTGGCAGGTTATACTACATTAATAAAAAAAAAAACAATAAGTACGCATTGTTTTAAAAATAAAAAAAATTAATAACATTAACCTTGATCCAAATCTATAATTTCCAAATCGTCATCGCTAATATCATCTAAAGATATTACATCATCAGGCTGGTCCTCTGGATCAGTTGAACTACTTTCTTCATTCAGATTTTGTCCATTGAAAATGTATTTTAGCCTCTTATTAGATATGCCCAAGAGTTCTTCCAACAGCATTGAATTAATTTCTTCAATGTCCATACTCTGTAAGATAATAATATATTAATATTAAATTAAAAAGGATAATTTATTACAAAATATGTACATAATAGAATAATAGCTACCATTTCTTATATTTTAATACTCTGCTGTTATATTGACATATATAACTTATGTATTGGTAAATTGTATATTTACAATGTAATTAGCTATTAAAGAAGTACTCTAGATACAGAGTAAAGCCGGGGATACACATGCCTGTAAAATGGGAAAGTAACTAATCAGTTGCTGGCATAAGCCAGTAACTGGTATACATATAACACATTTGCGAGTAATTGGCATGCCAGCAGCTTGCATGCGTGTACTGGCAAGGCAAAAAAGCAGGAGTAGATATACAAATACCAGTAATCAGACTGGTTTCCATGTAAAATTATTAAAAAGACACTTTTAATATTTTTTAAAAAGTCATTCAAGTTTTTAAGTTTTTTAAAACAAAAATGGAAAGTATTCCGAGTGAATTAAACAAACACGTATTGCTCATGGCCACGAATATTGTTAGACATTTAATAATGAAATCCAAACGAATCTAAAAAAAAAGAAAATTTGGGTGAGAGATTTTTTCAGTACACGGGAAAATTATGGAGAAAGTGATTGTTAGCTTAGACTGATGAGACAAGATGTAGGTTATAGAAACCAAAATTTAAAAAGAAAATTCTCAGTGGTTAGTTATATAGCATAGTTTAAAAAAACTCAGAATGAAGTAAAAACTTCTTTTTGTAAAATGGTATAAAATTTTTAAAATTTATCCATAATAGATTTATAAATTTTCAGAACGTTTTCAATCCCATCAGATCATCATCAGTGAAAAACATCGATAAAACAGTTGGTCCACATAATGAGGTCATATGACCAGTAAATTACATAGTTTGAGTAACGAACATTATAATTTTGAAGACACTAGGTCGATGATTAAGGATTACATTTTTTAATTGGGAACGACAATTTCCCAGTTTGAAAAAGGAGAGAGGTAACAGCCAACGTTGCAGAAATTATGTAATTTAAGGATAATATTGACCTCATTATGTGGCTAGTGCCAACTACTTTATAGACGTTTTTTACTTATGATAATCTGAAAATTTATAAATCCATTTGGATCATTTTTAAAAATTTTAATAAAAAGTTTATACCATTTTACAAAAGAAGTTTTTACTTCATTTTTTTCATTCAAGTTTTTTTGTTATAGAAACCATTTAAGAATGCTTCCAGAAAAATTGGAGAACTGATTGGAAAAATTTAGAATAAAAAGCCAAAAAAATACCCATATGCGATCTCAGCCAGAACTAAATTGGAAATAACTCTTATAATTTTTGGCTACGGGCGATTTATATATAAATATCTGGAGATATTGTATAGAGTAGGAAATTCTATAATTTCTAGATTTGTACCAGAGGCTTGTAATGAAATAGCTACTGCATTGAAGGATTTTATCAAAGTAAAACAATTTATTTTGAATTTATTTTTTTATTTATTCAAGTTCAAAGTAAATTAGAATAAAAAAATTATTTAAAAAGTTATGCTGTTTCCAGACTGTTGATAACAAATTAGTAGTATGTACATCATCTGTAGTATTATGTAAGTTGAATTAAGTTGTAATATTATTCATTGTACAATTGGAAGTTGAATACTGCGTGATGCTTGCATGGGAGATGAATGAATAATCAAGGAATCAGAATATGGAGTGGAACGATGAGAATAGGAGACCATGTTACCCATAATGAGGGGAAGAAGAGGAGGAAGATTAATATTGAGTGACAGTTGATTGCTTTTATTGACACCTCTCATGATAATTTCTCATTTGAATTTTCGGTTGTAGGTCTAATGCATATACTAAAGGTAATGTCTGTAAATGGATGGCAATATTTTAACCGAAATAGCAGAACTCATCTTCAGTATGAGTATTTTTTGGATTATTGATGGCAGTGGCAATATTTTTCAGACATTCTCATGCATTCAAGTTGCCATTAGTATTTTCGTTTGAATTCCTTTTCCTCTTTTTAACCATTTGAGGTTTTTTAGTTGTATTTTGAAGCAGGGGTTTTTGAAATGATGCAGTACTGGCTGTACTTGTTGTAGGAAATTAATGTTGCTGTTCTGTTATTTCCAAATATGTGCTTCACCAAATGACTGTTGCTGTTTTGTTAGTTCTGAAAATGGCTGTGTTTCACCATTGTTGAAGACTGTTGTTGTAGCTGCAACAAAATAAAACAATACTTCATGTTAAAATACAATCTATTTTTATTTTTCAAATTCTTATGAAACAAGAATGTAAGCAAATAGAATATAGTTTTCAATCTAAATGAAACTTTTTAGGATGTATTGGCGCAATTGATGAGAAAAATGTAAATATAAAGGCTCCCGATGACACTTCAGATTTTTTAACTATAAATAATTAACTGTATAATACTTCTAGCATTAGATGATGATAACTGTTTTTCCTATGTTGACATTGCTTGCAATGAAAGAGCTACAGATGGGGAATTGTTCCAAAGGAAGCATACCTAACATAAAGATTTATTATTATTATTATTATTATTATAATATAAGCGAGGGCAGAGGAACTAAGTCCCTATTATGCCCAAAAACAAAGAAATTTCATTAATCACCTACTAGTAAATAACAAAAATTACAGCTAAAAGAAATAAAATTACAATTTTTGGTTTAAAAGAAAAACAATATTTTAACTATAATATAATACTGTCGAGTCTGTTTTTGAACGAGTTGGTAGAGGAAGCGGAGACAATGTTGTCGTTGAGGTTATTCCAGCACTCAAAAACTCTATTTGGAAGAAAATTCTGTCTTTGTCTTATAGAAAAATTTTCTTTCTTTAGTTTATATTGATGACCTCTGAGGCGTTCATCTTGGTTTATGATAAATATTTCCTCGAGGTTTCCAAAATTGAATTTTAGTATTTTGAATGTTGTAATTAAGTCTCCACGTTGTCGGCGAAGTTCAAACGTAGTGAGGTTTGCCATACTAAGTCTTTCTGCATAAGACGGTCTTCTCGGTCCCAAAGAAATTCGAGTGGCTTTTCTTTGGACATTTTCCAACAGAGTCTTGTCTCGAACCAGATCGGGATACCACGTTGGTCCAGCGTATTCAAGTATGGGTCTTACGTACAAAGTGTAAAGTTTGCAAAATAATTGCATTGAAACTCCCGAAAAACACCTCCGAATAAGATACAGTCTGGAGTTTGCACGTTTACAAATAGAGGTAATATGATCGGACCAAGTTAGGCTGCTGTTCACAATAACACCAAGATCGTTATATGAAAACACAGATTCTAATGGCTGCCCGTTAACAAAGTACGGCACAAGTGGGTTATTTTTGCCAATTCGAAGCACTACACATTTTTCCGCGTTTAAGGGTAGTAACCACTGGGAACACCAAGTTAAAATAGAGTCCAAGTCCATTTGGAGGGTTAGCTGGTTTGTGTTTGGATTGGCATATATTTTTGTGTCGTCAGCGTAAAACGATATTTTACTTGAGACATAATAAGGAATATCGCTGGTGTAAACCGTAAAAAGCAGAGGTCCAAGGACAGAACCCTGAGGTACTCCACTTTCCACTAACCTGTCCTGTGAGAAAGATTCGCCAACTCTAACTTTGTAATATCGATCTGTCAGGAAATCATTTATCCAACGAAGTAAAGTACCGCGAACTCCGAAATGTTCTAGCTTATGTAGAAGTCTGCGCTTAGGTACACGGTCAAAGGCTTTAGAAAAATCTAGATAAACAACGTCGACCGGCTGCGAACTGTTAAGGGATGAGGTCCAGTCGTTAACACAGTGTAGGAGATTAGTTAGAGTAGAGCGACCAGAGACAAATCCATGTTGTTGTGTTGGAATAACATGTTCCTGGAGAAGGAATTCAGTCATCTCCTCGGAAATAATGGCTTCCATAACTTTGGCAACTACTGGCAGCAAGCTAATCGGACGATAATTGTTGGGGTCGAGTTTGTTGCCTTTTTTAAAAATAGGGGTAACGGAAGCTAATTTCCAACTAGGGGGTAAGGAGTTTTGGATGAAAGAGGTTTGCATAATTAACATTAAGGGTATTGCAAGCGTGTCTGCGCACCTTTTTAACAGTTTTGGTGTTAAACCATCTAAACCAGGTGAAGCGGCCGTGCGAAGTTTAATTAAGTGTTGTTTGACATGATCCACTGTGAATTCAACTTGCTGTAAGGATGCGCCGACACGATTACAGTTAACAGCAGGTAGATTACCATCATTTAATTCTTTAGTAAATACCTGTGAAAATGCTAAAGAGAGAGTTTCGGAAGATTCTTTGTCAGAAGAGCATAAAGTCTGGTTGGATTTTTGAAGTAGCGGAATGGAAACTTTAGATGTCATGGAGGAACGTATGTATTTATAGACTTTTTTAATGTTACCACTTTCAATAACGTTTGCTTCAAAATTTTGTCTTAGGGTTTTTAGAGATGTTTTTAAGTTATTTGAAAATCTGCGGTGGCTTTGGAAGTCACTAAGAAGCCCGGTGTGTATAAATTTTCGCCATAGATGTCGTTTGTGATTGATTTGTTTAATTGCTGTTCGATTTATCCAGGGTTTGAGGTTGTTTTTATAACTCTTACGGAAAATAGTATTTGTAGAAATTATATTGTGGACTTTATCGAGAAATGCAGTCCACATTAATGAGGGGTCGTTTAAGTCTGCAAAAAATAAATGCCAGTCGATTTGAGAGAGTTCAGTGTCAACTTCAGAAAAATCGGTAGTAGCATATGTTACAATGTTATTTTTGCGGGGTAATATTTGATTGAACTGGATGTGAGCCGTTATAACTGCATGATCTGACTTTCCTATGGGAGAACTGACTTCGAGAGATGAAATCAGCTGTTCGTCATTAATAAGCACTAGATCTAAAGTAGAAGGTTGGTTATTATTCCTAAATCTAGTAGGTTCTGTAATGAGTTGTATCAGGTTTGAATTTACTACAAAGCTTTTAAATAAATTATGAGCGTTTTCGGCGTCAGATAATGAAGTTATTGGCCAGGTGATCTCTGGGAAATTAAAATCTCCAGTAATGATGAGATTATCAAGAGATGATAGTTCTTCAAGTTTTGTGAAGAAAACATTATCGTGTGCAAGTAGTGTATTAGGTGGACGATATATACATACTAGATTAAGGCAAAAAGAATTTTTAGTAACAGATAAGTGAATTGCATCTATTCCAGTAATATCTATTAGCTTGAGGTTAATTTTGAAAGTTGTGGTAATAATATTGGATAAATAAATGCATACACCGCCACCCACACGATTTTCTCTGTCTTTACGATATATTGTATATCCATTTATATTAACAGAAGAGTCTGGAATTGTGGGTTTGAGCCAGGATTCGGCAATACAGATAATGTCCGGTTTAAGAAGTTGCACTGTGCATACAAATTCGTCAAACTTAGCGGAAAGTGAATCTAAATTAGTATATAGAAATAGCCAGTCATTAAATTTGTTGGTAGAAAAATTATGAACGAAATTTCGTGATTCTAGATGTCTAGACTAAGAAGATATTCAGGTAGGTGAACCATTGTGCGCCTATTTTAGTTTTATTTTCTAAACAGTATATTTGTAATTTTTAAGAAGAGAATAGGTACTTACATCTGTGGAGCTTGAATCTCTGTACTCAAATGTGTCATTCAAAAAGCCATTTCTTCAAACGAAATTAAACTTGCTTTATAAACATCTTTCACTCCGGTTCCTGTAGTTTTAGATTTATTTATATTATTTAGTTCCAGATGGTGAGTAGACCTCAAATTTTTTATTATGCTTTTTATCTTCTTTATAGTAATACATTCATACCTATTTCTTGAATTTTGGAGTATGCATTATCACAAGCAATTTTGTTTTTGTACAGCATTGATTTGAAGAAATTCTATATGCACTCATGTTCTCTGTATATACACTAATCACTTTATAGTCATTTCAGTCCCCCACTGAGACATGATAAGAAATCACTTAATTATTTTGTATAGATTCTGTTTTAATAGAAAGATTAAAAAACATATTTTTATAAAAAAAACTTAAAAAAACAAAACACAACAGACAAATTTCAACACTTTCAATAAAACATGTCATAGCTACCAGCATACCAGTAGCTGTTACATGCATTTATACCATAGATCCAATATACAGAAACATTTGTTCCTTACGCTGTGCCATATACACATTTGGAATTTATTTTATGCAACATAGGCTTTTTAATACAATAACTCAGATTCCCTGATTTGCAACTAACCAGTGTAAATTTTAATATAATATCGCGATGTTTTATAACTAATTTATTTGTTCCACTGGATTGCGTTTTCTTTGCGGTTTGTAGTAGCGTATGTGACGCGCCGACAGTGTTGTCCCGTCTATCGATTTTTCCTGAAACTCCTTTTGGGATATTCGTAATTCTGTATTTTTGTGCAGATAATGATGTTTTATTAACATTTTGTTTTGTGTTCTTTAGCTATTACTTGAATTATTAATTTTATACTTAAATACATTTATTATTCCAAATATTGTTTATAATTTCAAATTAAAAAGGGTGTATTATTATTATATTATTTTTGAATTTCCTTATTTTTATTTTTAGAAATCTATTTTTCTTAAAGCCGTGTTGGCAATAAAACATAATCATTTTTTTTTTAGTTAAATAATATTTGTAAGTCCATATCTACATATATAAATGTATGTTTTTGGCAAATTGACATGCACTCTAGCTGTGTTCCGTTTTTACACTTACACTGGCGGCATCGCGGCGTGGAGTGACTTAACGATCAGAGTTATTGTATTAAAAATCCTATGTTCCATAAAATTGTTTCCAAATCTGCCTGTATATATTAACATAGACTAAGCAGTCTGTAGAATGGCAGCATCGTGGCGTGGAGTCACTTAACGATCAGACAATCTGAGTTATTGTATTAAAAATCTTATGTTCCGTAATTTTTTTTCCAAATCTGTATGTATATATTAACATAGGCAGTTTGTAGAAATATGCGAACACACCATCTTTTTTTTCATTGTTCATTGTCTCTCTGTCTTATATTAGTTAAATATAGCAGCGTCTCTTTTTGGTGGAGAGTGAGAGAGTTAAGAATTTCAATATTCTAAAGAGAGACAGATCAAACAACTGCAAGAGATCTTGTCGTCAGCATGCACAGCTGGTATGCTTGGTCTATGTTAATATACATCTATGGTTTATACATGCCTGCGCCACTCTCAATGCATGCACATTGCATCAAACAGCACGCCACTGGCATGAAAAATCAAATTACATAAACATTACCAGTTTAGGTACACTAGCTGGCGCTTGCTAATTACTGGTATGCTGGTAACAGGCATGTGTATCCCCGGCTTAATGCATTGTTAAAAAATGTAACATACATTTTTGTTAGTTTCTTGGTCAGTTTTATGCCACCAAAAAAACCAATAGCATATTTTAATGGAAAAAATCAACTTTATATTAAGAGTCAAATATCTAGCTATTGGGAAGTGTTGAGAAATATTTTTTTCCCTGGAATACATTTGATTGTTCAACATGGTTCATTTTAGTACAATAAGTTATTTAGCTTTATTTTAAAATAACTTTTTTTGTAGACTAGTATAATGTTGAACGATATTTAAAAAGGATAACAATGAAAGTTGAATACAGATATAGAAGAAAAGAAATAATAAAAACATTTAGTGAAATCTTAAATATGGTAGTTTGTAATTTGTAATTTTCATAATAATTAGATATGTATAAGATATTTCATAATAATAAGAAATTGTAACTTTAATCTCTAGATTCTAGGATCTGTTGAGCTAATGGGGAAAAGACATTTAGATTACAGTTGTAGTGAATATTTTTTTTCCATGTATTAGATTTTACCTTCAATTCAGATGACATATGTTTATAAGTATAATTTAGTCCCTTAACTGATATGCTGTCAGCATGTATAAGTAAAACCACAAAAAGCCAAATTTGGTTAATACATGCATACAATGGAGGACCACAATAAAGGAGTCAAAGAAAAGTTGGATAATATACAGTCAGATCTAAGAAAATTATTTACAGTTTTTTTCCTGATAAATGGCTTTCGTAGCCATTCTACAATTAATGAACAGCTAAAGATAGACAATAAGATTATGAAGGAACAAATTAAAATCCATATGAATTTATGAAAGAATAAAGGATCAAAATTAATATAATATAATTTAACCTTATATTCTTCAATCTTACCTTCATACAATCGGGTGCCATACTTTTAATCTTTCTAGGTTTAATGATTTTTAACACTTCTTTCATTAATTTAACTCTGTCATTTAAATAGTAGGATAATTCATGTTCACTGCCTTCATCTTCAGATTCAGATTTGGATTTTATGAGTTTTATTAGTTTTTTATCTTTCTTTGAATGTTGCCGTTTATCTCTACTATGCTTCAACAAACTGCTCATTTTTTATATTACTATCTAATATGATATCAAATATAATAATTCATATAATTAATTAATTATAACATATTTCTTGCATATTTCTTGTTTTCATAATATTTTGTAAACAAAACCTTAATTCTTAATTCCTAACCTAAAAATATCAGTTTGACTTCAGCTGCAGTGTCAGTGTCAGGTTCAGGTGTCACGTTGTAGGAGAAAAAAAAAACGAAGAAGAACGTAATTCTACAGGTTTAATATAATATAAAATTATAGTGTACAAATGTACAAATATAAGACTGTAGACTGTAGCTGTAGAAAGAAAAATTAGTTTTAAGTATGATTTCAAAAGTTTGTGTTTAAGCTATTATAATTCACAGGAGTACTGGATTTTATACTCGAATATTCCCACGTCTCGTATCATTGCCTATGAGCAAAGCCAAAAGAGAAAAGAAGAAGATATACATAAACATAAACATAACAAAAACAAATATTTCAAATTTCAATTTCAGCTTCAGCCTTCAGCTTATAATTTATATTTACAATTTAGTCTCCTTTTACTACCCTTAGCATTACCATTCACTTACCATTGTGGTAATTTGAGTACCAATTTTATGTACGTAATTTGAAAATGGTAAAGAAGTGTTGCATTTGTGGAAAAGAGCAGTCAAGTGTATATGAAGATGTATCATTCCATAAGTAAGTAATTGATGTTCTTGAGTAATATTACAAAAAATCAGTATGTATTTCTAAAAGTTCCTTTAATTTTTAATATAAATTAAATCAATCATTATGTACCTACTTTAGATTTCCTAAGTCAGAAGAATTACGCAACAAATGGATTAGTGCAGTTGGAAAAACAATATCTTTCAATACTGCACTTATATGCAGTGAACATTTTCATCAAAAGGATTTTATTAATTTCGATTCAAAACGTAGACAACTGATAAAAGATACTGTGCCAACTCGAAATTTATCAAACAGTATATTAATGTAAGTTTTTGTTTGAATATTTTTTATTGTTAATTATTTTTTCTGAAAGATGTGCTGGCTCTGAAAAATTGTATAGAAAATTATAGCAGATATAATTTTAGGAAATTACCCAGTTACCTATATATTTTTTAATATGCAAGCTATGGATTTATCCATTCAATATTGACCAATGATTATAAACATTCTTTATAGTTTAAACTTCAATGAACATTATCAACATCCCCTTGAAATACATAATGTGATATGAGAAAGTTCACCCAAGAACATTAAGTATAATGTGTATACATAAAGCTAATTTTTTTCTGAGTATTTAACAATTTATAGGTACAGTTGCGGTCACGGAATAGTTTACAGGTTCACGTATCTAGGAGCCCATTTTTTAAATTTTTACTTCGTTTAAACGCACCTTTTACGTCAAAGTGACGTTGCCAGTGGTGTACTAGCTAGAATAGGTAGATTAAAATTAAAATATCAAAATATTTTACAAAATGAAAAATATAGAAAACAGTTTTTTGAATAAAATGGATTATGATCTTAATAACGAAAATAAAGAAGTCTTTTTTTTTTAATATGCATTTTATTTTAAATCTATTTTATATTAAATAACGATAAACAATGATAAATAATAATTAATATTTGGTGGAAGCCCCATTCTTGTCAATACAATTTTGCAGTCTTCTGTTCATAGATAGCACCAATCCCCTCATGTTATAGTTAACAAGCTCTTCCCATGCCTGCTCAATTGCTTCCCATAATTCAATTCTATTCCGTGGTTTAAGGTTTCTTTCATTTAGTTTCTTTGTTAACTCTGCCCACACATTTTCGACGGGGTTAAAGTCTGCACTACGGGAAGGCCACGGAAGAACATTAACATCAGTTTCTTCTAGCCATTCTCGAACAATTCTACTCGTATGCACCGGGCAATTGTCATGTTGGAAGATAAAGTCGTTGTTGGGGAATCTCTGGATCACCGATGGCAACATTGTGTGCTTATCATCCCCATACGTTGACAGAGAATCCTCCACTATTTCTTAAATGATGCGTATACTGTTCATCATACCTATGATTTCTCGGCCTATAAACTCTTATTCGACCATTATTATACGACTGAAATACTTTTTCATCGGAAAATACAACCCTAGACCAAAAATTCTCATCGCGGTTTATAAATTCATTACAAAATTCAACTCGTCTCCTCTTGTGATCCTCAGTCAAAAAAGGTTTCCGTGCAGCTACACAATTTAGCAGTCCACTTGCTTTAATTCTTCGACGTGCAGTGCAAATACTGCCTGGAAACACTGCCTCTTCTCTTGCCTTTTGAGCTGTGGCAAAAGGAGATTCTCTCAAATAATCTACTAACATCTCATCCTGTTGATCTGTGGAAATCTTCTGCCGTCCTGAACCGCCCAACCGTGCTATAGAGTGAAAATTATCCCATCTTTGTTTAATCTTCCATATGCACATATGACTCACGTTCAAATCAGCAGCAACTTGCCTTAGTGACCAACCTTCTTCGAGTTTGGCAATTGATCTTGCTTTTTGCGCATAATTCAAATGTATTCTAACCATTTTGGAAGAGTTTAATATACTTTTATTTTATTGTTGAACACTCGCGAAAGCATTGACGTTTTGAAATTTTTTGACTTTGACATTTATCAAATCCGTACGACACTGCAATTTTACAGTATTACAATATAAAAAGTAAGGTGTAAACTATTCCGTGACCGCAACTGTACTTCAAAGTTAGATTTCAAAGTTAGTGAAGATAAAGTATAAGTGATTATTATATGAAATTGCCGATTTGTTTCATATCTCAAACATACATTTAAATCAATATGTTTTTAGGTCCGTTGATCCTTTAACTGTAGTTGAAGCCACATACGAAGATAGCTGCGCTATTTAATGCTGATTACTTATTACTAGTTCACCAAGTAAGCCAAGATATCTTTTACAACATTTTTATGTATACCATTTTCCTGCTATGTTGTTCCAATCAGGGCTGCTCAACAAGTTTTTGATTTATTTTATTGAAATTTGACCTACAGAATATAATATATTGTATTAATGCAATGCATTTATTGACAAACACATTTAATAAAGTTAATTAGAAATCATTTTGTTGACCAAGGGTTTATACTAAATGAGAAGGAAATAAACAAATCTATTATCGAAGAATTTATAGATGTAACTAGCTTGTCAGATCTTAAGATAAGTCGTAAGATCACTAAAGATACTCTTAATGTCCAAGGAGCTGCAAGCTCCATCAATGGTATTTAAAAATATTTTATATTTAAAAATTATATTTTTGTTAAATATTATGTTAATTATATATTAATGTTTTTTATACTATGAAACTATTTTGAAACAATAATTTTAATCTTTGAGTTTATTTCCAAGATGTGTGATTTATTTCAGGTGCACAATTTGACGGTTTGACATTTTAAACATAAAATATTATGCAACTGATACCAGGGAGAGAACAAAAGCTTATGGGTTAGCATTAAGATAACATTGTTAATTTGATGACCACAAATATTATAAATTTAAGAGTCAAAGGAAAAACATTACTTCCATTTCAAAAAGGTACTGTAAGGATAATTTTTAGTTATTTATGTTTTCTTTTAATTTTGCAATTTATTTTAGGTATCTTAGTGACTACTACATCGCTCCATCTTTTATTTACTGATCTAAAGGACAGATTTGGCACAAAATATCTTCTTATCTACTGATTGAATTAATATATTATTGAAATTTTGTTTTGGTATGGGAGTAGAAAAGATGGCATGAATCACTGTACCTATGACATAACACCTTGCTAATTTAAAAGATATTTTCAGTAGACTTAGGAACGCTCACCTACAAGTAAATGCCAAGAAGTGCGAGGTCTTCCAGAACAAGGTTAGTTTCCTTGGACATGTAATTTCATCCTCAGGATTTGCAGTAGACCCAGCAAAAATAAAAACACTACAAGAATGGCCCATACCAAGAAATAAACACGGTGTCCGAAGCTTCCTAGGCCTTTGCAGTTAGTATCGTCGCCTCGTGAAAGATTTTGGAAAGATACCTAACCGAGAAGAAGGTGCCATTTGCCGGGCTCCAGACTGCCAGCTTGCCTTCGTCACACTTAAGCATAAATTGATGACGGCTCCAATCCTGACATATCTGAAAGAACAGGGTCTTTTCGTGTGTGATACAAGTGCAGGAGGCTGAGATACACCTCGTAGGATACTGCAGTAAAACTCTGGGAAAAGCGGAAAGAAACTACTGTGCCACCAGCAAGGAGTTATTGGCGGTCGTTAAAGCAATAGAACACTCCCATTCGTTCCTCTATGGCAGACAATTCTTGATAAGATCCGACAATTCCGCCTTGCAATGGCTCCTCAATTTTAAGATACCTGAAGGCCAGATAGCTTGATGGTTTCAGAAAATACAGGCCTATGATTTTGAAATTCGCCACCGCGCAGGAAGAAGCCATGGAAGTGTCGATGGTTACTAAAAAGATAAATGACCTTGTATTTCCTGACCTGATAACTAATTCCACGAAGTAAGCGGAAGGTCGTCCACATAGATAGACTTTGTCTTTCTGAAGGGCAGAATTCACCGACCTGGTTCATTTAGGTACAGCTCGAGGCGACTGTAATTACGGTCCTGTAATATCTCGAAAATTCTACTTGGCGTTCTATTAATAGTTTATTCGCGATGTTTTCTTGGAATTTCGTGTTGAAAGTGCTGAATCGACGTTCATGACTTGGCTGGTGCTATCTAGAACATCTGTTCATGTATAAAACCAGCTGAGGAGTCACTTTGCGGAGGAATTGGTGCCAGAAGAAAGTGGAATTGTTAAACGTAACAATATTTTTAAATTTGATGAAGCTTTGTTCATGTATGAAGTAGCATCAGATGACATTAAAATAATTCTTTCCACTAAGATAGGATCCGGGAGAAAAAAATTGATAAACCTTCGTGAATAAATTTGGTGATGGTATTTTTATTTGTCTTTTGTAATTCTTTTGTATAAATTAAATACGACGTACTATTTTTTCACTTGTCAAAGTACCAATCAATAAATTAGCAACGTAACGACCACATGAATCCGTAGTTTCATCTACATGAAAATAAATGTAATTGTCACGTACCATTTAGATTGTTTGTCGAAATACCTTATCTATGTAGTTTTTTCTTAAAGTGCTCTCATCTGGAACAGACTTCTTCATATGTTTCTCAATAAATAATCTAATTGTAAGATTATTAAGTTTAGACAAGGAATGTCGGCACTAATGAACTTTTCACATAATTCTAAACAAAATTCTTGTTGGGCCGCTGTCTTTTGGGTGTTGAAGAAAGTGTCAGAGAGTAGATTTTGAGTCTTTGCACTACTGAAATTTTTCACTTTGGTCTGATGCAAGCTAGTCTTAACATGTGTTATGGAAAACTATTTTTTTCTTTTCACAGGATACCTACCAAAAAAAAAGGAGTATGTGTAGGGAAGGAAATGATCTACTAAATGTAAATGAGAAAATAGAAAAACTGAAAACAGAGAAAACAACAAAACATATATTTCAAGGAATGAAAATAGATACAGAACAACAAAATGTACTACAAGAACTAATGGAGAACTTCATGAAAAACGAATTAAAAACTGCAATGCCAGAAATATCCAGTATCAAAAATAAAATTGAAACCATACAAAATCCTGTCTTGCGAACAGCAAAAAAATAACTTTAATTTGATACTGATGTGGATATGGCATAAGCATATGATCATAAAACAGATGTACGTAGTGATCGTGATCGATGTCGATGACGATGGATGAGTGTTTGCAATCTATGACTACAAACTACCCGATATTAAGAATCAAAATAATTTCGTTACATGATCCTATCCTAAATTTAACGATAGTTTATAATAAGAATAAGCAATTAGTGATACAAAAATTTAAACTTAGAATATATTTGGCCCTTACATTTTTACAACAGGCTCTGCAAAAAACAGTCTGCGAACTTCCTTCCACAACTAGTTCTGTGTAATTTATTACCCAAGCGAGGACAATGGCGATGGACACTTTTATTTTTATTATTATGCACTAATTGTAGTTTACGTGACACTAGCCAAATAAAAATTTTTTAGTTAATTGTAGGGTCTCATTTAAATATCCTCAAATTCTTTAGATAGAAATAAAAACAAATCCCTTCGAGTCTTCAAGTTTAAAATGGTATGCTACCTTGTAACGTTATAAACGTCACATGTTATTTTTCTTTTAATAGTTACTTTATTTCAATTTTTTTGACTTTATTCATTTATTAACTTTATCTTATCTTTCATTTTATTCTAAAAATAGTTGTTGTCCAATTCTTCATTCAATTCTTTAATCAACTAAATATCGTATTTAATCTTTATTTTTCATTCACAATCTTCATTTATTTCAGTTATATTTCCTGTATTTGACTCCAGTCTGTTCTAGGTCACAGACATGGAACAAATAAATTTCTATGCCTCACTTCAATAGACAGTATAATATCTGTTAGGTGACAACTCTGCCCTGTCTTGTGACACTTCAGTGCTGAAGAAAGTGAGATTGGTTTTTATAGTGTCTTTTCCTTATTTCAGCTGGATTTTCTCCGCACATGCTTATTTTAAACTTATAGTTCGTCCAATATGCAGTTAGTATCTTTCAATGTAATTTAACTAATTTGTTTAATAATAATTATATTCATTTTATCCTTGCTAATTTGCTATTTGTTATTTAATATTGTAATTATTTTCAATTTTCATATGGCAAGGAAAACATATATGATGTTGCTAACACATGGGTTAAATTTTCTAGTTTTTTGGCCTAATTTTTGTCCACATTTTTGGGTGAAGAATTCTACAACGCATGGTCGACCATACAGCAATAACTGCAGCTGATATTTAGAACCCAATGGCCACCAGAAGATACAAACATGAAAGTTTCTAAATTAAACCACGTCTAACCACTACATGTTACTGCATTCCTGTCCAGTTACTTGAAGACAACACCTGAAGCCATACTTAATTATTTAGAAATTTTTATGTAAAGCTATAGGCAAGATTTTAAGAGAATTTAAACCACGGCTGACGATGTGTAGAGACAAAAATGGACATATAGTCAGTACCGCTGACGCAGTACAAAACAGATGGGTTGAGCACTTCAAAGAACTACTTGGTACCGAAGTGGAAAATGATGCGTCACCCCAAAGACCAAGAAATAACACTCACGTAGAACCTGCTTCAATATTTGAAGTGAAAAACGCAATCACACGACTCAAAAATAGCAAGTCCCCAGGAGTGGATTGTATCCCCGCAGAGCTCATCAAACATGGAGGTAACGGCATTATGCACCAAATTCACAACATAATAGTCAAAGTCTGGGAAGAAGAACAAATGCCAGAGGAATGGTGCACTGGAATCATATGTCCACTACACAAAAAGGGAGATTTGTTGGAATGTAAAAATTATAGGGGTATAACTCTTCTGAATACAATGTACAAAATATTCTCCAACACTCTGTACAGCCGCTTAAGTACGTACGTGGAAGAAATCCTTGGTGAGTATCAAAGCGGTTTTAGGCCAGGTAGGTCAACAATTGACCAGATTTTTGTGCTACGTCAAATCTTAGAAAAAACCAATGAATTTAATATTGACACGTTCCATCTCTTTGTGGACTTTAAGTCAGCGTATGATAGCGTCCTAAGAGGTAAATTATACGAAGCCATGAATGAACTTAACATTCCCCATAAATTAATAAGGCTCGTAAAAACAAGTATGAGTAAAGTGATCTGCAGAGTGCAAATACAAGGCGATATGTCACAAGCGTTTGAAACATATGCAGGGTTACGGCAGGGAGACGCGCTGGCGTGCCTTCTCTTTAATATAGCGTTAGAAAAGACTATAAGAGATGCCGAGTTACACAATAGGGGAACAATCTTTAATAAATCAACGCAGATTATGGCTTACGCTGACGATTTGGATTTGATTGCACGTACTACACGAGGACTTAAAGAGATGACTTCCACCTTCTTGACAGCCGCACAAAATATGGGCCTTAAAATAAACGAGGAAAAAACCAAAATGTTAGCATCTATTCCAAATAACAGAGATAGAGCTAGAAACGCCGAACAAAACTTCAGTATAGAATAATATAATTTTGAGGTAGTAAATAAGTTTACATATTTGGGTTCTCTCATAACAAACGATAATGACACATCTGAAGAAGTTAAACGGAGGGTACTGCTAGCAAACAAATGTTATTTTGGACTAAGCAAGCAGCTAAAAAACAGAAATTTAAGCCAGAAAACCAAACTAATAATATATCGAACACTCATCCTACCAGTGCTGACATATGGGTCAGAAACATGGACCATCTCCAAAACAGTCGCAAATCTTCTGCTCGTCTTCGAAAGGAAGATACTAAGAAGAATAATGGGCGCATTCTGTGAGAATGGTATTTGGAGAAGGCGATATAATTTCGAATTGTACGAGAAGTATAAAAAAATAGTAAATGGTAGAGATGTAATATCCTTCATAAAAATAGGTAGGCTTAGATGGGCTGGACATGTGTCAAGAGCAAATGAAAATTACCCACCCAGACGAACTCTATTATCGGTCCCAGTGGGAAATAGGAGTAGAAGCAGACCACGACTGAGATGGAGGGACGGTGTGGACGAG